TTGGCTTTACCTACTCTACAATTAATTCCCTGTAAATTATTCTTTATTTCAGTTAGTGCCTCCTTCATTTCTGACTGGTCCTTTTTTATGTTGTTTCATGTTCCTTGGAGCTATCCTTAAGTTCCTTGAAGGTCTCACTAAGTCCCTTGAGCAATCTTATAACCTGTTTTCTGAACTCTGCATCTGATTGATTGCTTATCTCCATTTTGTTAAATTCTTTTCCTGGAGTTTTGTTCTTTTCTTTCATTTGGGACATGTTTCTTTGTCTCTTCATATTGGCTGCTTCCTGTGTTTATCTCTATGTGTTAGGTAGAGTTGCTGTGTCTCCTAGGCTTCGAAGGGAGGCCTATTGCTGTAGGTGTCCTGTAGGGTCCCTGATCACTTGAGCTGGTCCCTCGAGGTGCACCCCTAGTGTGGACTATACACCTTTATGTTGTAATTGAGTCTTGATTGCTGTTGGCACATCAATGGGAGGGATTTACTCAGGCTGATCAGCTGCAAGGACTGGCTATGCCCACTGACCACTAGCCTCTGATTCCCTTGGAGGATCAGCTATGTAGGGGCCCACCACACAGAGCAAAATTTACTTCAGTAGGGCTCTGTACCTACTGAGTCCACTCATTGAGTGTGTCACTTGTGGAGTTGATTGGGTGGCGGTGTTTTGATGTGGTCTGAAGCTGTCCACTTGGTGTGCTGGCTTTGGGGCAAAGTCAGCCACTGCCTGTGTTCTATTTGGGGCCACCTGTCATAAGCTACAAAGTGATCTGCTGATGGCTGCTTCTTGTGCTGGGTGTGGAGGTGTCCAAGTAAAGCTAAGTTGTGAACAAAGGCTAGCTGCTTCTAGTGCTGGGCCTGGGGCCACTTAACGAGAGGTATGGGGCTGGTTGAGACCAGATGCTGCTTGTTTGAGAGATTTTAGGAAACTCTAAAGCAGGATCCAAGACAGGCCAATCCTATGGTAAAGCCTTTGGAAACAACTTGGGTGGGGCCTGAAAGTTGGGTGGGGCAGGGCCTCAGGGAATCACCAGGGTGGGGGGAAATGGTGTGAGCCATGTTGCTGGAGTCCCAGATATGGTGCCCATCTGCCTCACCTGGGAAGGGCTCACCTAAGGAACGTCAGCTTCCACCAGCATGTCTGCCCAGGAGAAAGCCACCTCTCCAGCCCTTGTCCTCAGGCCAATCAGCTCAGTTCTTTCCTGGATGTCTCTGGTGCCCCTCAAGCTGCTTTCCCTCAAGCTTAGAGGGAGCAAGTCTGAGTAAGTCTGTGCTTGGGCCCTTTAAGAGTAACTGCCTGGGGATCCAGCAGCCTCAGCCTCCCTCTTACTCAGTTCCCACTGGTTTTTACAGCCAAAAGTTATTGGGACTTCTCTTCCTGGCACTGGGACCCTGAGCTGGGCACCTAGTGTGGGACGGGAAACCCTCACTCCTCAGGGAGGACTTTCCAGCCGAGGTGTCCTCCTGATATTTATCCGCAACACGTGGGTGTGGGACCAGCCTATTCACGCCTCTGCCCCTACCAGTCTTGATGTGGCTGCTTTTTAAATTTCATAGTTGTAGGACTTCCATTCAGGTGATTTCAGGCGGTTCTGAATGATGGTTGTGTTGTAGTTTAGTTGTAATTTTGATGTGGTTGTGGGAGGAGGCGATACCGTATTTACCCATGCCACCATCTTGACCAGAAAATGTTTTGAGATTCTTAGAATATATTCCTAGAAGTGGGATCACTGGGTCAAAAATCAATTTGCTTTTTTATTTTAAGGAAATGCCATACTTTTTTTCACAGTGGCTGCACCAGTCTGCATTCTCACCAGCAGTGTGCTAGGGTTCCCTTTCTTCCACATCCTCGCCAGCACTTGTCATTTGTTGATTTGTTGATGGTAGCCAATTTGGCAGGCGTGAGATGATATTTCGTTGTAGTTTTAATTTTTATTTCTCTGATGATTAGTGACGTTGAGCATTTTTTCATATGTCTCTTGGCCATTTCTATGTCCTCTTTGGAGAAATGTCTATTCAGGTCCTCTACCTATTTTTTAAAAAAATATGTTTTTATTGATTTTTTTAGAGAGAGAGGAAGGGAGAGAGAGAGAGGTAGAAACATTGACCAGCTGTCTCCTGCACAACTCCTACTGGGGATCAAGCCCACAACCTGGGCGTGTGCCCTGACTGGGAATTGAACCAGTAACCTTTTGGTCCATGCGCTAATGCTCAAACACTGAGCCACACCAACTGGGTTTCGAATGCTTTTTCTGTATCTATTTGTATGACCATGTGATTAAAAAAATTTTTTTTCTTTATTTATTTTAGAGAGAGAGGAAGGGAGAGGGAAAGGGAGACAGAAACATTGATGAGAGAGAGCTTCAATTGGCTGTCTCCTGCATGCCCCCCACTGGGGATTTTGCCCACAGCCTGGACATGTGCCCTGACCAGGAATGGAACTAATGACCTCTTGGTGCATGGGTTGATGCGCAACCACTGAGCCATAGCAGCCAGGCTGATCATGTGATTTTCATCTTTCATTTTGTTAACGTGTTGTACAATTGATTTGCTAATATTGTACCTCCTTGCATTCCCAGAATAAATCCCATGTGGTCATGGTGTATAATCTTTTTAATGTACTGCTGGATCTTATTTGCTAATATTTTGTTGAGAATTTTAGCATCTATGTTCATCAGGGATATTGGCCTGTAATTCTTTCTTTGTCATATCTTTTTCTGGTTTTGGAATAAGGATAATGCTGGCCTCATAAAAAGAGCTTGGAAGACTTTCTTTCTCTTGAATAATTTAGAATAGTTTGAGGAGGATAGATGTTAGTTCTTCTTTGAATGTTTGGTAAAACTCCCCTGTTACACCACTCAGTATAGAAATTTTGTTGGGTGGGAGTTTTTTATTTTTATTTATTTTTATTCCTGCTTCAATATTATTAGTTATTATTGGTCTATTTAGGTTTTCTGATTCTTCATGATTGAGTTTGGGAAGATTATATGTTTCTAGAAATTTGTTCATTTCTCCAAGGTTATCCAAATTGTTAGCATATAGTTGTTCATAGTATTTTCTTACAATCCTTTGTATTTTGTTGTGTCAGTTGTTACTTCACATCTTTCATTTCTGATTTTATTTATTTGGGTCCTCTTTCTTTGTTTCTTGATGAGTCTGGCCAATGGTTCATCGATCTTGTTTATTTTTTCAAAAAACCAGCTCTTGGTTTCATTGATCTTATGTATTGTTCTTTTAGTCTCTATGTCATTTATTTCCACTCTGATCTTTATTATTTCCTTTCTTCTACTTACTCTGGGCTTTTCTTGTTGTTCCGTTTCATTCAAATTGAGCATCAACATGATCCTCAAACCCAGCTCCATGACCAACCCCCAACCCTATTTCTGCCAGGTACTTAGCCAGGTACCTGGATGGGGGTTGGGTTGGTAGGATGGTGAATTCATCAGATATAGTACCTGTCCCTGTGGAGTGTGTGTACCTCTGCTGCTCAATATGGTGGTCAAGAGTCACTGTGGCTGTCACTGAGCACTTGAAATGTGCTTATTCTGAACTGAGATGTGCTGCAAGTCTAAAACACACACCAATTTCAAAGCCTTGCTACAAAAAAGAATGTAAAATATCTTAATAATAATAATCTTTAATATTGATTACATACTGATATAATACTATTTTGGATATATTTGGATAAATAGGAATAACATTCAAAATAATTTTACCTCTTTCATTTGACTTTAAAATGTAGCTATTAAAAAATTTAAAATTACCTGTATGATTCACATTTTATTTATGTTGGACAGCACAGGCATAAACAGCCATTTACCAAATCATCACCTACATGAGTATTAAATTTGAAATTTTGATGACTAAATAGTCCAAAGGAAGAGGAAGGTGATTCTATGAAAAATTCTAACAAGAGGTCTTGGCCTTGTCTTTGGGAGGATCATACAGGGCTTTCCTTGGGAATGCTAATGCAGCTGAGTGAAGGAAGAGAAGAAAGTAACCAGGTAAAAGGTTGAGGGTCTCAGGCATGTGCAAAGGCTCTGTGGTAGGACACAACATTGCTTAAGTACAAAGGAGGAGGATGGTGTATTTGGACAGATGAGAAGTGATAATGGCTTGAATGAGAATTGTGGCTGTGGGGATGGAGAGAACTGTGTGAAGTAGAAAGGTTTAGGAAATAAAATTAAGATCTGGGAATGGATTGATTGGGAATGATAGTCAATGAGCGAGAAAGGTGTCAAGGATAACATTTATGTCATATCTGTCTGTTCCTATCTCTATCTCTTTATCTATTTATATCTACATACCTTATATTTCTGGCTTGTCTAACTGAAGGACCATCTACTGATAAACATAGAAAGTGTTGGAAGAGGGCAAGTTTGTGTGGGAGCAGTGGAAATATACACATTAGTTGTAGAATAATTTTCTGGGCTAGCATGGTCTTCACCATGATTGCTGAAGTCTAAAAATTGCTGCATTCCACACTCTCTCACCCCATACCTCAGATCAAGCAACATTTTCACTCAAAAACCATCAGTGGCTTCTCACTGCCCAGAATCCAATATGAAACCCTTGACTTGATATTCAAAGGACAGAACATTGACCCTTATCCTACTTTGAGCTTAAGTTCCTATGAGGGTCCCTCAACCTCTACTACACCAGCCTTCCCCAACATACTTACCTCTGTACCTTTGCTTCCAAGGTGCCTGCTTTGCCCCACCCCATTCACAGTAACTGAATCAGTGTCCTCTAAAACCCACCTCTTCCAAGAATCCCACCATCTCCACTCTACCCCAAGCTCTAGAGATCAGTTCCTCCTCTGAATCACTCTAGGACTCCTCCTGGGCACTGAACATGTTTGTTTTGTGTTGTAGTACCACCCACAAGAATGTGGGTGCAGTGGGGAGCACAGATTTTGACTTGTCTCTGCTGTGTCTGCAGTCAGTGGTGGATGTGGGTATATGGCGGTTTGGGTCTCTAACCTTCCAGCCTCTCCTTGCTGACAGTGACTGGCATGGCAGGGCTTGCTAGCCTGAAGAAGGAAATTAACCAAGTAAGAGCTGACACCAACCAGTCTCTGGTGGAACTTCGAGGCTTATTAGGTGAGTGGGACTTGGGGAATTGTCCTAAGATGGGGGCATGGCAGAGCTGGCATAATGCACAAATCCATGGGAGTGATTCTCATTGCAGTTTATCCTGTTCCCAGGCTGTAACAGGGTCACTTGCCCTGAAGGCTGGCTCCGTTTTGAGGGCAAGTGTTACTACTTCTCCCCAAACACCAAGTCATGGGATGAAGCCCGGAAGTTCTGCCAAGAGAATTACTCTCACTTGGTCATCATCAGTAGCATTGCTGAGCAGGTGAGCTGTACCCTCTTAGCCCCCGAGAACCAGAAGGGCCAGCCTGCTTCTCTTCTAGATTTATACATCCTTCCCTGGCCTGGATGGAGAGAAACTGGAACTGCTTTTGAGCCACTGAAACTTTCAATAGCAAGCTTTTACTGACATAATATCATTCAGAGGTTAAGAGGGTATGCTCTGTTTGAGTTCGAATCCTGGCTGTATTTACTTATTCTTGGAAGTCTCAGTTTTCTAGCTCTTAGGTAACACATTCTATTCTCCAGAATGTATTCCAAACATCTTATATATTACATGAATCAACATAATTCTCATAAAAACTTAATACATTCTTGTGTGAGTCAGGATAGGTTATGTGATGCTGAAGTAACACACAGCCCTCGTAGTTCAGTGGTAAAGTGTATGGGGAAAATCATACACTGATTCTTATAGCTCCCACTTATGTGAACTCACAAAGCAAGTCACACGGGCATTCCTATGCTTTAAGGTGGTAGGCAAATAGTTTTACCTGTGCATATATAGGAGAATTGAAATATTTGTAAATAATTTTATGACTTAGTACTACTACATGCAGGTAGGTAGTAATACCATTTGTACACATCACATCTCATTTGTACTTCACAGATGAGAAAAAAAAGGCACAGTGTACTTAAGCAACTTCCCTGTGGTCACTTACAACTAATAAGTGTCAGAGCATGGATTTGAGCCCAGATGTTTGCATGCTTTGTCTTTTTCCATCTTTTTACTTTTAACCTATGTCATTATTTTTAAAAATATGTTTCTATTGATTTTTTTTAGAGAGAGAGAGGGAGGGAGAGATAAATAGAAACATTGATGTGAGAGAGAAACATTGATTGGCTGCCTTCTGCTTGCCTCCTACTGGGGGTAGAGCCCACAACCTGGGCATGTGCCCTGACTGGAAATCAAACCGGGACCTCTCAGTTTATGGAACAATGCTTATTCCGTTGAGCCACACCAGCCAGGCATAACCTATGTCATTATTTTTAAAATGGATTTCTTATAGACAGCATAGAGTTGGGTCTTATTTTTCAAAATTTAATCTGACAATCTCCAGCTTTTAAATGGTGTTTCAGATCACTTTTATTTAATACAATAATTGATTTGGTTGGATTTTATTAATATAATTATTTTATTATTAGACTTATTTAAAATAGTAAATAGATTTGTTTTATTATTAAGATTATTATCTTTTTTTGTCTTGTGGGCCCTTTCTGTGTTTATATTCTTTTGTTTCATAGCATCATTTGTATGAGTAGCTAATATAGAGAAGTTTTAGGGGGATTACATTAGATAATGTAAGTGGGGCAGGTATAAATTATACTCCCTAAATTCACGTGCACAAGAACTATACCATTGTTTGATTTAGGTGATTCATTTAGTTTTTTTGAGCTCCCATTATACCTGGATTGTGGACATTTAATTTCTGTCAGTTGGGATCCTCCATTTTTCTTCTGAATGGACAGCTTATGTGGAGTCAAGGTGGAGGGGACCATAGGTCTGATCCTCGATGTCTTTTTTTTTTATCCTCACCCAAGGACATTTTTCCATTTTTTTTGTTCAGATGAGTGGGAGGGAGAGAGAGGGAGAAGAGAGGGAAACATCGACGTGAAAGGGACACATGGAGTGGCTGCCACCCGCACGACCAACCAGGGCCGGGGACAAACTGCAACCGAGGTATGCGCCCTTAGCGGGAACCGAACCCGGGTCTCTCTGGACCACAAGCTGATGCTCTAACCACTGAGCAAAACTGGTCAGGGATGATCCTCGATGTCTATACACCAAGCTGGTATTCACTGGATGAATGGTCCAGGATAAGTTCTTTAACTTCTTTGTGCCTCAGTTTTCCCATCTATAAAATGGTGATAATAATAATACTTGCTTCAGTGGTCACAATGAAGACCAAATGAGATAATACATGCAAAATGCATAGCTCACGTATTAATTTATTAGCTCAACCAACATTTCCTAAGGACTTACTATGTGGTAGGCACTATTCTATTAAAAATATGTTTTTATTGATTTTTAGAGAGAGAGGAAGGGAAAGGGAGACAGAGAGAGAAACATTGACTGCTGCTTCCTGCACACTCCCTACTGAGGATTGAGCCCCCAACCTAGGCATGTGCCCTGATGGGGAATCAAACTGGCTACCTCTTGGTGGTTTGGATGATACCCAACCAGTGAGCCATACTGGCAGGGCCCAAGAACTTTCTTTTCTCCCAAAGGCTTGGGTTTTTGACATAAAAAAAAGGCAAGAAGCCCCATTCCTCTCCTTTCTTTTCCCCTTCACGTTCTTTTTCTGAGGCAATGAATTCCTTTTCTTCCTGAATGATGATCAGGACTGCAGGGTGGGGTGAAAGCACAAGGGAAACCAAGACATCAGTTATTTAAAACTAATCATCAGTTATTGTTAAAATATCTCTTAAATGGCCCTGACCGGTTTGGCTCAGCTGTTAGAGCATTGGCATGCGGACCAGACAGTCCCGGGTTCTGTTCCCGCTAATGGCACATGACTTGGTTGCAGTTTGTCCCCAACCCGGCTGGGGTTGTGTGGGTGGCAGCCACTCGATGTGTCTCTCTCACATTGATGTTTCTCTCTCTCCCTCCCTCTCTTGCTCTCACTCTATCTGAAGATAAATGCAAAAATGTCCTCAGGTGAGGATAAAAAAAAATCCCTTAAATGTTATAATGTTAAATGTGAAGATGTTATAGTACTGACTTTGTGTCAGACACAGTTTTGAGTGCTTTATGCTATTAACTCATTTAATTCTCACAACCTATGAGGCAGTAGTTACTATTATTCCATTTTACAGATGAGGAAACTGAAGTGAAGATTTGTTCACAGCTCATGTGAGAAAGTAACATAATTATTCCCACTGCACATGCTCAAGTAGGAAGAAGGGTGTTGATCCTTCTCTGGAGGCCACAGGGTCTGGGAGGAAGTTTGGGGGTGGCATTTATAAGCCTTAAATGTGTGTGGGACAGAACAGAGGGAGGACCCTCATCCTAAGGGTCATATAGAAGAATTGATAGCTGAATGGAGTTTGTACTTGCAGAACTTTGTGTCCAAGGCTCACCGCTCTCCACGGGTACACTGGCTGGGACTGAGTGACAGAGAGCACGAAGGGGACTGGAAGTGGCTGGATGGGTCGCCTGTCACTTTGAGGCAAGTATCTAGAGTTTTTGGGTTCTCTGCTTATTGTGGGTCTTTGAGCAGTCCACGCTAGAAGTTTCTCTAGAATTCCAGGCTGGACTGGACAGCAGAGGCACAGGTGCTTTTTTGCTGATAGGGCTTCTGGTTTCTGTACCTCTTTAATTTTCCTCCATTGCAATAATCTCCACTTCTTAGCACAACTGCTCAAGTATATCAAGTTCCCAGGCTGATGGTTGGAAAAAATAAGAAAGGTGGAGTGGCTATAGGACAAGAAGAAGAGGATGAACAGGATCTCATTCTTTTTGCACTCTACAGATATTAACCCATTTATTTAATCTCTGTAAAGAAAGTGGTATAATTTTCATTTTAAAGATGAGAAAACTGAGGCACAGAAAGGTTAAGCAACCTGTCCAAGGTTAGACAGCTAGCAGGTGGCAGTGCCAACCAACCTAGCTCCAAAGTCTATACTTTTTAAATATTTTTTAATTTTTTTATCCTCACCTGAGGATATTTTCCCATTTTTTTGTTCAGACAGAGTGGAAGGGAAAGAGAGAGAGAGAGAGAGAGAGAGAGAGAGAGAGAGAGAGAGAGAAACATTGACGTGAAAGGGACACATCGAGTGGCTGCTACCTGCATGACCCAACCAGGGCCGGGGCCAAACTGCAACCGAGGCACATGCCCTTAGTGGGAACCGAACCTGGATCTCTCGGGACCACAGGCCGATGCTCTAATTGCTGAGCCAAACCAGCCAGGGCCAAAGTCTATACTTTTAACCCTTAGACTTTACTTTCTAAAAGAGTGTATGTATTTGTATTTTAAATAAACATTAACAAATTTTTCCATACTGGTTATAGCAATTTAGTCTCTCAGCAGCTTGATTATATAGTTTTTTTTTTATCCTCACCCGAGGACATTTTTTTTTTTTTTTATGTTTTGTTCAGATAGAGTGGGAGGGAGGAAGGGAGGGAGGGAGGGAGGAAGGGAGGGAGGGAGGGAGAGAGAGAAACATCGACTTGACAGGGACACATCGAGTAGTTGCCACCTGCATGACCAACCAGGGCCTGGGACAAACTGCAACCGAGGTACATGCCCTTAGCGGGAACCGAACCCGGATCTCTTGGGACTGCAGGCCGACACTCTAACCACTGAGCCAAACTGGCCAGGGCTGATTATATAGTTTTTTTGACCCATGTGTTCATCAAGCTTTTGGAATTATGTTGGTTTTATTACAGGTGAAATAGAATTCCAATATAGTATTAATTTACATTTCTCTTATAATGACATAAAACATATATTCAATAGCCATGTGTATTAACATTTCTGTGTTATCTATTCATACCTTTTGTGTTTTTAAAAAAATATGTTTTTTATTGCTTTTTTAGAGAGAGAAGAAGGGAGAGAGAGATAGAAACATCGATGTGAGAGAGAAACATTGATCGCCTGCCTCCTGTACACCCCCCATCTAAAGATTGAGCCCGCAACTCAGGCATGTGCCCTGACTGGGAATTTAACTGGGACCTCTCAGTCCAGGGAGATGCTCAATCCACTGAGCCATACCAGCCAGGCTGTTTTTTTTTTTCTTTTTTTTCCAATATGGGATTTTGGTCTTTTTCTTATTGATTTCTAGGAGCTCTTTACATAGATTAGTGTTTTGGCGGAGGATCTTATTTATTTATTTATTTATTTATTTATTTATTTATTTATTCATCCTCACCCGAGGACATTTTTCATTTTTTTGTTCAGATAGAGTGGGAGGGAAAGAGAGAAAGAGAGAGAGAAACATCTACATGAAAGGGACACATTGAGCGGCTGCCACCTGCAGAACCCAACCAAAGCTGGGGACAAACTGCAACCGAGGTACATGCCCTTACCGGGAACTGAACCCGAGTCTCTGTGGACCGCAGACCGACGCTCTAACTACTGAGCCAAACCTGCCAGGGTTTATTTATTTAATAATTAATGTTTTATGAGCATCTATAGAGCTGATTATTTGATTTTTAAACAAGATATGTTTTTGTTGATTTTTTTAGAGAGGAAGGGAAAGAAAGATAGAAACATCAATATGAGAGAGATACATCAATTGGATGCCTCCTGCACGCCCTCTACTGGAGACTGAGCCTACAACCTGGGCATGTGCCCTGACCAGAAATTGAACTGGGACCTCTTAGTCTATGGGACAATACTCAGTCCATTGAACAACAACAGCTGGGCTGAGGATCTTATATTTTATTAAAGATTCTTGGAAGGAGGCACAGCTCTGTAAATAGAGATGGCATGGCACTTTGGGTGCCCAGCTAGATCCCTGTATAGGGCTGGTGCAGCCATCCACCAGCAGGAGGCATTGGCAGCTAAAGAGTCACCATGTGCTTTCTTCAGATAGTTGTCCTCAGCTGAATGGAAGCCTGCTCACCTGTAAGGTTACCCTGTTCCCACTGGGGTTGGTCCACAGCCAATGACTGTCTCAGAGAAGTCTGGACACCTTGTCTCAAGTTAGGATAACTCTGTGATACTATTCACTCTCCAGAGCTCCCTGTGGGATCAGGCTGAGGCTAGATTCAGTTGAACTCACATCCTTGCTCACCTCTGTCCCTTACCCCATTCCTGCTTTTCTCTCTCCCTCTCTCCTGAGTGTTCTTTAATAAGTCCTGTGCACCTGAATCACCAAATAGGGATCTGCTGTGACCTGGAAGGTTGGGAGAATTAGGGTGTAAAGGAAGTGTTCTTTGGAAAAGGAGGCAGGCATTGACCAGAAGCAGGAAACTGATTCAGGAGGGAAGAGATTGGTCTGGTGAACAGGGAGATGGGGCTGAGTTAGGACAAACAAGTTGGGGTGAAGGGGATGATGAAGCATCTTCAGATAATTCTGAGAGGCTGAAGAAGTGATTTAGATAGAAGACAGAGCCCTGTACCAGGAAGGCCTTTTTACCATCTATAATATATATGTTTATATATATATTATATTTATATATTATATAATATATATATCAATAGATCATTATTTTTTTAATTTACAGAAAAATTGGGCTGAAGGTATAGAGATTTGCTATATATACACTCCTCTCCTGCACACAGTTTCCTCTATTATTAACACCTTGCATTAATGTGGTGCATTTGTTACAACCGTTGAACCAATATGGATACATTATTATTAACTAAAGTCCATACTTTACATTTAGGTTCACTCCAAGTGTTGTACATTCTATGGGTTTTGACAAATGCACAATGTCAATGTTATGTAGCCACCACCACAGTATCATGTAGAATAATAATAACTGTCCTGAAAAATACTCTGTGTTCCACCTATTCATCCCTCCCACACCCACGTTTTCTTCTCTTCAGCTTCTGGGAACCAGAGGAACCTAACAACATTAATGACGAGGACTGTGCCAGCATGAACAAAGGTGGCACCTGGAATGACCTTTCCTGCAACAAAGCTACATACTGGATTTGCGAGCGGAAATGTTCCTGTTGAACCCCAGGAATGAGACTGGGTGGGGGTCTGTACCCGAGTCCCCCTTGGCTCTTGGAGATGGGAACTTTGTGCCCTTCCATGGAAGGCCCAGCCTCTCCATGAACCGACTTGGATGCACTCAAGATGGAACCAGCAGCTTGGATATAGCAAGTTCCCTGGGGTATAAGTCAGACCATTTCTAGGGAGAGGACTTGGGAGCTTGTTCAGTAGGATGGTGTCTTAGTTTGTTCTGGCTGCTATAACAGAATGCCATAAACTGGGTGGCTTATAAACAACAGAAATTTATTTCTCAAAGTTCTGGAAGCTGGGAAGCCCAAGATCAAGGTGCAGGTGAAGGCCTGCTTCCTGGTTCATGAATGTTGTCTTTTTGCTATGTTCTCACATGTTAGAAGGGACAGGGAACTCTCTGGGGTCCCTTTTAAAAAAAATTTTTTTTTTTTTAATCCTTACCCGAGGACATTTTTCCATTTTTCACTCAGATAGAGTGAGAAGGAGAGAGAGGAAGAGAGAGAAACATCGATGTGAAAGGGACACATCGAGTGGCCACCACCCACACGACCCAACCAGGGCCGGGGACAAACTGCAGCCAAGGTACATGCCCTTAGCGGGAACCGAACCCGGGTCTCTGTGGACCGCAGGCTGATGCTCTAACCGCTGAGCCAAACCGGCCAGGGCACTCTAGGGTCCCTTTTAAAAGGGCATTAATCCCATTCATGAGGGCTCCACCCTCATGACCAAATCACCTCCCAAAGGCCCAGCTCTGAATACCATCACATTGGGGGTTGGGTTTCAACATATTAATTTTTGGGAGACACATACATTCAGTCCATAGCTAATGGTGAGCTGGAGTGGTACTCTCCCAGTTCTGGGGTCTGGAGAAAACTCACAAAGTCTTTGATCATGGCACTTAGGAAGTGATGCTTGCCCTGGGGACCCCAGGTCTCCTATTGATTGATCCAGAGCTGAAAATACCTTGGGTCCTTTGAACCATGATGCACAGGGGCTGGGCTCCCTTACTGCCTGCCCGATGTGCACCAGCTACTGGGAAGCAGGTGGGGCAAGATTATTCTTGACAAGTAACTTTCTCATTGTCCCAGGTGAGGTTTGACCAAAATAGGTGGTAAAATCAGAACTTTGCTAAGATTTGGCCCAAGGAACTGTAGACAAACAGAAAGGCAAGACTCCCCACCCAGTGTGGCCAAGCCAGGCTATGTCTTGGTCAGATTCTCAGGACAGCAACAGAGATATCTACCCACATGTGTCTTTGAACTATTTGCAATTTATAAAGATATTTGATGAAATATTTCACTTTACTGCTAAGTGGACCTTTTGGGGGCTATTGCAATGTTAGAGCTTCTCAAAATGCCAGTTCATTGTGTAGCTCTTGCTTGCTGTGTTAATTTGCTGGGGCTGCCACAATAAAGTACCACAGACTGGTTTAACCAACAAAAATACATTGTCTCATAGTTCTGGAGAATGGAAGTGCAAAATCAAGGTGTTGGCATGGGAGGGTTCTGGTAAGATTTCTTTCCTTGGCTTATTGATTGCTGTCTTCTCTGTGTGTACACATGGTCTTCCCTCTGTGTATGTCTGTGTCCTAATCTCTTCTTATAAGGATACCAGTCATATTAGATTAGGGCCCACCCTAATGACTTCATTTTATCTTTTACTTTTTTTAATTAAAAAAATTTTAACTTATCTTTATTGTTGAATGTATTAAGAGATGTCCCCCCCGCCCTGGCCAGTTTGGCTCAGCGGTTAGAGCGTCGGCCTGCGGTCCGGAGAGACCGGGGTTCGGTTCCCGCTAAGGGCACGTACTTCGGTTGCAGTTTGTCCCCGGCCCTGGTTGGTCGTGCGGGTGGCAGCCACTTGATGTGTCCCTTCATGTCGATGTTTCTCTCTCTCTCTCCCTTCCTCTCTCTCCCTCCCACTCTATCTGTACAAAAACAAAACAAACAACAAAAAAAGAGATGTCCCCCCCTTTTTTCCCAATTGACCCCTTCCTCCCCAATCCCGCCCCCTCCTGTCTTCCCCACACTATTGTCTGTGTCCATTGGTTATGTATATACGCATAAAAGTTGCTTGGTTTATCTCTTCCTGCCCTTCCTCCCCCATTCCCTTTGAGGTTCATCAGTCTAACAACCAATTTGTACTTCTTAATTCCTTCTTCTTTTTCACCCATCCCTCCAGACCCCACTCGTCTGGTAAGCAACAAAATGTTCTCTGTATCTATGAGTTTGTTTCTGTTCTGTTTGTTCATTTTGTTTGCAGATTCAATTGTTGATAGATATGTATTAATTGCCATTTTATTGTTCATATTTTTGTTCTTCTTCTCCTTCAAGAAGACCCTTCAACATTTCATATAATACTGGTTTGGTGGTGATGAACTCCTTTAGCTTTTTCCTGACTGGGAAAATCTTTATATGTCCATCTATTCTAAATGATAGATTGCAGTAATCTTGGTTGTAGGTCGTTGCTTTTCATCACCTTGAATATCTCTTGCCACTCCTTTCTGGCCTGCAAAATTTCCTTTGAGACATCAACTGACAATCTTATGGGAGCTCCTTTGTAGGTAATGGACTGCTTTTCTCTTGCTGCTTATAAGATTCTCTCTTTGTCTTGAACCTTTGGCATTTTAGTGCTGATGTGTCTTGGTGTGGCCCTCTTTGGATTCATCTAGTTTGGGACTCTCTGTGCTTCCTGGCCTTGTATGTCTGTTTCCTTCACCAAGTTAGGAAAGTTTTCTGTCATTATTGTTTCAAATAGGTTTTCAATTTCTTGCTCTCTCTCTTCTCCTTCTGGCATCCCCCTGATGCCAATGTTGGCACGTTTGAAGTTGTTTCAGAGGCTCCTAACACTATCCTCATTTTTTTGGATTCTGTTTTCTTTTTGCTGTCCTGATTAGGTTATTTTTGCTTCTTTATATTTGAAATAGATGGTTTGCTTCTTGGCTTTACCTACTCTACTATTGATTCTTTGTAAATTAGTCTTTATTTCAGTTAGTGCATCCTTAATTTCTCACTGGTCCTTTTTTACATTATTGATGTTCTCACTAAGTTTCTTGAAGTTCTCCTTAAGTTCCTTGAAGTTCTCACTAAGTTCCTTTAGCATCCATATAACCAGTGTTTTGTATTCTGCATCTGATTGATTACCTTTCTCCATTTTGGTTAGTTCTTTTCCTGGAGTTTTGTTCTTTTCTTTTATTTGGGACATGTTTCTTTGTCTCCTCATTTTGGCTGCTTTCCTGTGATTGTTCCTATGTATTAGGTAGAGTTGCTATGTCTCCTAGGCCATGTAGGGTGGTCTATTGTTGTAGGTGTCCTGTAGGATCCAGTGGCACAGTCTCCTTGATCACCCCAGCTGGGCACTCGAGGTGCACCCCTAGTGTGGACTGTACACACTTCTGTTGTAATTGAGTCTTGATTGCTGCTGGCATGTCAATGAGAGGGATTTACTCGGGCTGATCAGCTGCAAGGACTGGCTGTGCCCACTGACGACTGGTTTCAGACTACCTTGGAGGATAAGCTGTGCAAAGGCCCACCACACAGAGCGAGACTTACTTCAGCAGGGTTCTGGTACCCACTGAGTCCACTCACTGAGTGTGTCACTTGTGGAGGTGGTTGGGTCGTTGTGCTTTGATGTGGTCTGAAGCTGTCCATTGGGTGTACTGACTCTAGGACAAGGTCATTTTCTGCCTGTGTTCTACCTGGGGCTACCCAGCATAAGCTACAAAGTGATCTGCTGGTGGCTGCTTCTTGTGCTGGGATTGGAGGTGCCCAGGAAAAGCCAAGTTGTGAACAAAGGCTGGATGCTTCTAGTGCCAGGCCTGGGGCCACTAAATAACAGGTATGGAGCTGTCTGAAACCAGATGCTGCTTGTGTGAGAGATTTTAGGAAACTCTGAAGTAGGATCCAAGACACCGATCCTATGGTGAAGCCTTTGGAAACAGCTTAGGTGGGGCCTCGAAATTGGGTAGGGCAGGGCCTCAGGGCATCACAAGGGTGGGGCAAACAGTGTGAGCCAGGTTGCTGGAGTACCAGATATGGCAGCCATCTGCCACCCCAGGGAAGTGGTCAAAGCCCTCCTCCAGCACCTCTGTCCAGCAGAAAGCTACCCCTCCAACTCTTGTCCTGATGCCAAACAATTCAGTTCTTTACTGTATGTCCTGGTGCCTTTGAGCTGCATCCCTCACACTGGAGCCTGGAGGGAGCAAGTGTGAGTAAGTCTGTGAGTGGGCCCTTTAAAAGGGGCTCCAGAAGCTTCAGCCTCCCTCAGCCTCAGTTTCTGCTGGTTTTTACAGCCAGAACTTATGGGGACTTTTCTTTCTGGAACTGGAACCCTAAGCTGTGGGGCCTAGGATGGGCTCACTCCTCAGGGAGGACCTTCACATGGAAGTATCCTCTGGATTTTCATCTGCTACATGTGGGTGTGAGACCAGCCCATCTTTACCTCCACCCATCCTACCTGTCTTGATGAGGCTGCTTCTTTATTTTTGTAGTTGTAGGATTTCCATTCAGCTCAATTTCAGGCAGTTCTGAATGATGGTTTTTCTGTAGTTTAGTTGTAATTTTGATGTGGTTCTAGGAGGAGGTGAGTACCGCATTTACCTACCTGCCATCTTGACTGGAAGTCCCGACTTCTATTTATCTTAATTACTTCTTTAAAGACTCTATCTCCAAACACAGTCACATTTTGAGGTACTGGGGTGAAGACACCAACATATGAACTTTTTTGGAGGGACAGGTAAAAACACCAACATATGAACTTTTTTGGAGGGACAGAATAAAGCCTGTAATACTAAATTCCCAAGGTAACTCTCCCAGTCATTGTGACAATAGAAAGTTGGTACTACCCCTAAATGAGCACAAGGCAACATGACAACTTCTTTGGACAATCCCAGAATTGTATCCAGGGATGAGTAGATATTCTCCAAATCAATTTATTTAACAACAAATGCCTATGACAGGACTTCCAGTCAAGATGGCGGCGTAGGTAAATGAGGTACACAACCACATCAAAATTACAATTAAACTACAGAAAAACCATCATTCAGAACCTCCCGAAATTGAGCTGGATGAAAGTCCTACAACTACAAAATTAAAGCAGCTGCCACATTGAGACTGATAGGAGGGATGGAGGCACGGACAGGCTGGTCCCACACCCATGTGTGGTGGATAAATATCAGGAGGGACACCTTGACTGGGAAGGTCCTCCTTGAGGAGTGACGGGTCTCCATCCCACATCAGGTGCCCAGCTCAGGGTTCCAGTGCCAGGAAGAAATGTCTCCATAACTTCTGGCTATAAAAACCAGTGGGAACTGAGGCAGAGGGAGGCTGCCTTTGTGGGAGCCTCAGGCAGTTCCTCTTAAAGGGCCCTTGCATGGACCTTTTTGGACTTGCTCCCTCTGAGCACAGAGGGGAGGCAGCTTAAGGGGTGCCAGAGACATACAGGAAAGAACTGAGCTGTTTGGCCTCAGGA